TAGACGCCTATAAGAATGTATATAAAGAGATTCACGTTCTGTCATGCTTGCTTAAGAAAGCCATTCATCCCACCTGGAGGTGCATGTTGTAGAGTTTGACAGGTTCTATATGTGCTGAGATCATATTGATGCGAACAGACTGTGCAAAAAATAGCATAGCAAGCACTCACTGTCCTTCTAATGTCCTCTGTGAACCTCAGGCGGACACACCATTTTACCCATCTGCTTTTGGCCAACATTCATTGTAATTCAATGACATTCAACCCTGAAAACCTAATCACACTATCCAGCCTGCTTTACATCCGTCTTTTTACCCAGAATATGACGGCGTTCATGAGAATCAAAGCAACACAAATATAATGATATTCTCGTCACTTTAGACAATGTGCCTGTCCCAATAGACACCAGCAGCTTTACATGAAACATCCTCTAAAGAGGTAAAAATGTGTTTTTTGTGTTTCTAGTTTTTTTATACAAAAAACTGCAGTGTACTATGTCTATATGAGTAAATACATCTTACAGCATTGTACAGAATTGCTTTGTTTAGGAGAAAACTCATTTCTTTCCCCATCTGTCTCAAGTGCTTAAAGGGATAGTTCACTCAAAAATGACAATAATGTCACCATTTTGCACAAAAATTTTACTTTCTTTACTCTGTAAATGATAAAAAAAAGATATTTTGAACAAAGCTTTAGTCAAAGTTAATGTAGTCAAAAACAACTTCGACTTTAATGGAAAAAAACAAACATTTTGCAAAATATCTTTTTTTTTTTTTTGCCACGAACGTCAAGCAAATTGAAGCATCATTACATTGAGTAAATGATGACAGAATAGACATTTTTGAGTGAAATATCCTTTTTAATTTAGATTTCTAATAACAAATTCCAGTTTAGAATCCAGTTTAACATATATCCCAGGGTTATTATAGATCACTAAAATAAATCATAGAACTGAAATATTTTGCTTCTTAAAATAAATGCTTACTTAAGAATATATAATATAATATAATATAATATAATATAATATAATATAATATAATATAATATAATATAATATAATATAATATAATATAATATAATATAATATAACATTATATTATTCTGCTAGACCCCAAGGAAAAAAATCTCATTTATTATTTAGTTTAACGTAATACATTAAGTTAATACTTAATAAGTTTAATAATCAAATGTATTAAAATAATCAAACTAAAATTAAATGTTCAACATTCTAACTCAATGATACTATAATAACTCTGCAAATATTGCTTACACACACACACGGACACACACTCACACTCCACTTATCTCACAATCACAGACCAAGTTTATTGCCCAAGCTTCTGTATCGAATTTTGTTCATCCATGGGCACAAAAGTGGGCACGCGTGCTCCCCTTCTATTAAAACGCCACCGCACGTGCGCGTCAGTGTACATTGATGGTGGGCGAATCATGTCTTGTTCATAAGTTTTGCCAGCACTTGCTGAATGTGTAGGCGTGGTAGGTTTAGTACAGAATGCCGGGCTCTGGGGTTGCCTGGCAACAGGGCATGTCTGCGATGGGCATGGCGGTGGGCGGGGCTGCTTTCAGCTGAGCGACTGCGCTGAATGGCCGCTCCCCCAAGGGCGGGGTCATGGGGGAAGGGCTCCGTGTCCATGGTAGTGGAGGAAAACACATACGACGCCAGTCTTCTCAAATGGGCGGGCCTCGGGAATGAGTGATGTGGGTGTGGCCTGTCCTCCTCCAACTGAAAAAGACCAATAAGAGCGGAGGAAAAGAGGAATCAGGCTGAGAAAAAACTAAATCGCGATGTATTGAAAAAAAGCGTGTTTTTTTGACTAAGACTGTGTGTGATGCACACACAAAAACACACCAATAAAAACAGGAGATAAACGATACAGTATATTAAATGGGTGGTGCAAACACATAGATGTGCTGTGACTGTTTTAGAGGACAAGACCAACCCACATCTGTCTGAGTGCTAGAGACAGGCTTGTTAAAGCTTACGCTTAACTGGGTGAATGTATGATCTACATGTTGTGAAGGAGCCAACGTGTACACACAGACCCTTGAATGAGCGAAAAGCAAACTAAGCTTGGCTGTGAATTGTTGAGCTTGACACACACACACACACACATACACACATACACAAACATAGAAACCTAAACCATGCAATTCAGCAATAAATACACAAGATTATTTAATGTACTGTATCAATGGTGCATACATTCCCTCACATACAAAAACATATATGCTAATACAAGTTGACGGAAACTTAGAAGTATTACTTGTACTGATGTACAAATATTCAGCAGCGTGGAGTAAATACTAGTATATCATAATACTTCTGGCTTAAGCACAACCTATATACACAGATATTACAAAAGCTATCAACTAAATGAATGTTAATATATGACCTGCAATTAAAATCTGAGGTGGGATAGATGTTAAGGTCACAGAAGATGCACATGCTTTTGTTATACTCGTCTATGTCACCGTTACCCATCTAAATTTTCAGCGGCCATCACTTCAGTTTTCAGTGTCACATGATCATTCACAAATCAAGCCAATATGCTGATTTTATACTCAAGAGATATTTCTTACTATCAGGGGTGTCGCTAGAACCCAATTTACTGGGGCACGTGCCCCAGTAGAAATCACCAGTTCCCCAGTTAATGCTTTGGGATACGATTTACTTCATATGCAAGTGTATTTATTAAGAGTGGTAATCCCGAAATAAAGACGTTATTTTCTATATGCAACCGAACCAACGCAGGAGGTAAAACCTATTAAGCCTAATTTTCTGCCATGTGTCAAGTCTAAGACAACAGAAAATTCATTAAAACATATATTTTTTGTATTCTATAGAATTGTCTATAGAATTTCATTCAAATTAAATTATTATTCATGCAAAGTATTTCTTTAATGATCCTAATTTACTACTACTTAATTTTTGTTGAAGTAGTAATATATTTCTTAACAATTCTTCTTCAGTTTCTAAATAGCAAAAACTTACTGACCTCAAATATTTAAACAGTACTGTATTAAGACCCATTCCATTTACTAATCTTAACTCAAAAGAAAATGTCATCTATTTTTTTATTCACATGGATGGAACAAGCCCACAGAAACAATAATTCAGTCATTTACATATAACACTTGCACAACAATTCAATCTATGCCAGTTTATAGACATAGATCAGACGATGCTGGTACTTAAAAGCCTTTTGCTAAAAAGCTTTTAAAGTCGACATGAGATCAGAAAACCAAATGTAAATATTTTTCCAAATGAATCATGATTTTAATTTTTTGGATATCTTAGGTAGACATGTCACATTACAGAACTAAAATGAATTGAAGTAAAACACACGTTTACTTTAAGAAGCTACTCACAAAACACTGCAGTGTGACAAAGTGAAGCAATACAATTCTATTTCAAACTGAACTTAAAGGGATAGTTCACCCAAAACAATGAACATCTCGCTATTTTATTCTCCCTCAACTGGTTTTAAACCTTTAATAGTTTCCTTCTTCTGATAAAAAACAGAAAAGATGATATTTCAAAAAAACCTGTAACCATTGACATCCATAGTAGAAAAAAATAAATACAATGGAAGTCAATGGTTTCACCAAGTTAAGTTTAGGCCTTTTAGGACATTTTTAAGATCATTATGAATTAAATTTTAGACATATACAGGGCTAAACGCTAGGGATTTTCTTTTTTCGAACAAGTCAGACGGAAACGATTTTTTATTGCCTTGTAAAAAAATAATTATAATTTAATACATTTAATAATACAATAATAATAATTTGATAATAAAAAATATAGGTCAGGTCAGTATCCTCAGCAGTAAAAACATGGAGAACTTAAACAAATGTTATCATAATGAAAACAATTAAAGCAATATGGTAAAAAGTTAACAATTAAATATTTAAATAAAACGTTTAAAGTTTTATTGCGATGGATTGTTGGTGATTGTTTATTTCAATCTGGTCAACAAAGGAAAATTTTGAAAAAGATTTAAGACCTAAGACCTTTTAAACCGTAACAGCTGCTATTAATAAGTGCTGATAAAATGTATAATCATTTTCTTTTCAAAGTGATTTTAAAATTATTTAAGTGATCTGAAGGCAAAACAAGGTTTATAAAAGCTGGAAATATATGTCCTTTGATCCATACATGTACACATAAAAATGTAAACTGTCAATAAAATCATTTTTAGTAAGACATGTCATACGCTTTTTGTTTTTTTTTAATATGTGTTTAGATATCCAAGTAAAATAAACTGTAAAATTCATACGTTTAAGCCTGCATTATTTTTTAAAAGCGTCCTGCAGTTGTCAGTGCGCAATAAATCGTGGGACAATCGCGGCCGCAAAGGATCCACCGGTTTTGTCCTTCAATACCTGGGAAACGAAGGATGCATTTGGAGGCTGTGTTTAAAGGAGCATTCAAGTTTTTTTTAAATGAGACAGCCTTCAACGAGCCGGATGAGGCAGCGCACTTCGAATGCATCCTTCGGAGGATGCAGCCTCTGAAATGAGACAGCTATATTTATTTAGTTTGTGCTGTAATGCATTAAGAAAAATAGTTCAAAAATAAACAAAGCGTTTGTCAACATAAACATCGGATTGATTTTCATTTTAATTTATACTGAAACATTTGAATAAAAACTTCAGTGAATATAAAATTAAACAATGCCTTAAGAAAATATAATGATCAGATAGGGACTCAAATTCAGCATTAATTTAACTTTTTTCTTTCAAAGGTTAAACAAAAGGCTTTTGATTAGAAGGTTTGGAATTATTAACAGGTTTTTTTATGGGTGAGTAAATGACTAAAGAGTAAAACCTTTTTATTTTGTAGTTTTGGGTAAACAATCCCTTTAAGCTTTCATAATGATGTTATCATGGATCCAAATATCCTCAAACATTTAAAGAGTTCAGGATGAGCCATATAAACACACATGCTCACACACACATACACATCCAGGTTTGTCTTACCGGTCCATCAGGTCCAAACGGCTCCGACTCTCTTCTTCTCGGGCAGGAACGAGGCAGCGTGTGACAGGATGAATGGCCGGGACTCGGCCCTGCTCCCTCCTCCTCTGCTACAATCATCATCCCTCGCTGTGTTTTAGGTCGAACCACAGCCTCAGCTCCTCCATGCACTCTCCTTCTCCTCTCCTCGTGGTCCTCGAGGGGCCGCAATTCCTCAGGTTCCTCATCTGTGGTGCCTGAGGTGGTTGGTTCTGCCCCGGGGAGGAAGTCCTTCAGCTCAGTTTCTTTATCGATCATCACCCACTCCCTGCTGTCGAAGTCCTCTTCCTCTGCCAGCGGGACTGAGCGTATGAAGGCATTGCTGTGGGCCTCCTGGTCACCGTCTGCAGAGACATCATGACGGCCGCCGGCCAACCTTTCTCCCTGTCCACCCTCTAAGGAGAGCATCTGAGCAGGCTGAGAAGAGTAGACATGCCTGGATGGAGAGCCCAGCATGTCCAGACGAGAGCTGATAAAAAACACACACAAAATCTATATTATTATTTATATATACAGTAATGTGCAAAAGTTCTAAGCACTGTACCAGCTTTGTTGGCCTAAGACTTTTGCACAATATATAATCAATTCTTCTCTTTATTAAAAACAAACAGAAAATAGAGGAAAATGTACTAAAAAACAACAACTGCACAACATTTCCTCTTCAAGCAAAAGTCTATGTTTAATGTGGCTTCCTTTGGCACCAAGCACAGCTTGACCTGTTTTGTTCTAATTGTCCTGACATTTTCTAAAATAATGTGCTGCGTAATATCAGGCTTTTTAGCACCTTCTAAAGTTCTTCTTTAGGTTTAGAGTGTCATATCTTTCTTTTTCTGTCCAGGTTATCTCATACAGCCTCTATAATATTCAAGTCTGGACACTGTGGAGGCCATTTCATGACTGTCTGTGTTTCATCAGCTGTTTTCTGTCTCTAAATAGGATTTCACTTCAATTAGTGAATTGTTATTAAGCTGAAAATAAAATCTATTACCACTGAAGTTCTTTCCAGAAGGAATGGTTTAATGGATTAAAACTGTATCTGTACTTTTCAACATTCACAATTCCATCAATTCAGACAATATTGCTAACATAACAACACTGGTAAAAATGCAGCTCAACCCAGGACAAACAACCTCTCTCCAACATTGTCTTTCACGCGTCTTAAACAATTAAACCAAAATAGTTCAAATTCTAACCTAACCTAACTACTATCCCAACAAGCCGAATACATCAACTGAAAGATAATTTATTCAACCTGTATAAATCGCAATAAAAAAACTGACCAAAAATGTACTCTTATGACTGGTTTTGTAGTAAAGCAACACATATATCCATAGTACCATTAGTAAAATAACAGATTTAATGTTGGCCTAAAACTTTAGCACAGTACTATATATATATATATATATATATATATATATATATATATATATATATATATATATATATATAGAGAGAGAGAGAGAGAGAGAGAGAGAGAGAGAGAGAGAGAGAGAGAGAGAGAGAGAGAGAGAGAGAGAGAGAGATTTCAAAATGAATATTATTCATACTTTTTTTCAGCAGTGACACATTAAATTGTGTTAACTGTGCAGAGCTGTATTCAAACAAAGTCATTTATAATCTTATAAAAGATTTCTATTTCATATAAAAGGGTTCCTACTCTAAGCCATGTGTACAAATCCTTGACTTTTTCCTGACTTTTTGACTTGACTTTTCCTGACTAAAAAGCTAACATTCCATGTCCCATAATGAAGAGAAAAACAGAGCGTTGCTGTGCTTTGCATATTACAATTCTTCAAGCTTGAGTTTTATAATTTTTTGTGAATTCAATAGCCACTATGAGCGCAACAGTGGATAATTTACCTTCGTTTTTGACAAGAAATTAAAAGAAACAAAAGAACGCAGTTCAACTCCCAGTCTTTGAAGTGGTCAATTTGTAACCACGGCTCTTGAAATTTGCATTTTCCTGCCATGTTTGCCTTTGTTAACAAGTACTGCTTGGCGATTTCATTTGACTTAAGTGACTGTCAGTTTGACGACTGGAAAAGGAATAAAATGAAAAATAGCCTAACCAACAGGCAAAATGTGCAAAACAGTGTGCTAAAAATTATATGTTATAGACATTACACTTTGCTAAATGAAAACTAACATTTAAAAAGAGAAAAGCAAAAGTCTCTGATATTCATTGACTTATGTATTGAAAAATATTTAGAATTCCCTCACTTTTAAAATTTCATAATATTCCAGTAATTCCATGATCTGTAGGAGGCCTGAAATAAGTTTGTCTTTTAAATTTGAACTTATACTACTTATTAAAAAGAACCCTGAGCAAGAAATAGGGGTTTCATGGTATCATGGTCTCCACAAAAAGCAGAAGAAGCTGTTTTTAACAAACATCAACATTTCAATATGCTTCGTAATGATTTTAAATGATTGTGTGAAACTGAAGTCTGCGACAAAGACTGCAAAATATTGTACTTATCATCAAAATGTACATTTTGCGTATATTAAATAAGACAATTAAAACAATTGTTGGTAACACTTTATTTTCATGGTCCATTTGAGTATTAGTAGGCTGTCTGCTTAATATCTGTTGATATGCTCCTTTAACAGACATTTAATTCACTATAAGAGGCTTAGCAAGTATGTCAATTTACACTAACTAACCCTAACCCCAACCTAACAGTCTACTACTATAATCTACTGAGAATTAGTTGGAATGTAGATGCAATGTAACTTAAATTCAATAAACGGACCATCAAAATAAAGAGTGTCCCAATTGTTCTGATTAACAATATTACTGTTTTACTGTATTTTTAGTACAAGTGCAGCATAAAATCATATTAAAAATGTTACTGACAATTTTTCCAATTACGTTTGTCCACAAACTGCAGCTCAGCATGTGTTAATTACAATAACAGTAAAATACCAATAGTACAATTGTAATTCAGCAATGTTTACGATTAAGTCAAATACAGTACTGTAATCTCAAATGTGTTCAAAAGTTGTTGTTTGGAACAATTAGCTGAAATGCACAGGATTATAAATCAATATAACAATTAGTTTAGAAACTGTTAAAAACTTTTATTACATTTAAAATCCTAATATCAATGTTTATTTCATTTAAAATCATAATATCTATTTTTAGTAACTTTGATCTAATTATTATAATCATACAACTGTCAAAGCAAAAACTTTACATGCTTTCTTTCTTTAAAAAAGCCACTATTGAGTATTTTTCTCACTAACAAGACACATGCAGTCGAGTGACCTTTAAAATAGCTAAATGTCAGCCAGAGGAACAGAGTGATCCATTTTAAAGCTCTCGCTCTCCTCACCGTTTATCTGCACCATCTCCTCTATCCTCTGCACCAGACAGACGCTCTGATTCAGGGCTGTTGACTCTCCGGTACCTTGGAGGACGAGCCTGAGCATCACCTTCCCCACCCCTGGCTGGAGAAACAGACCTCCCTCCTCCAGCAGGCTCATCTCCATCCTCTGCTGCTACTTGTGTCTAAGAAGAAAAAGAGTATTAAAAACTTAAAAGTATTTAGTTCACTCCCAAAATACACATTTCATGATAAATCTCACCCCTTTTTCATTTAAGATGTTCATATAATTGTTTCTTAAGTCATTAAAGAAATTGAGTAGACTTCTATGAAACTCTCTAAATGCTTTGAACTCTCAAAATGCAGTCTTAGTGCAGCAACAAAGACTATATGATTCATGATGGGAAACTTCTTATCTGACCCAGTGTGTTTAAAGCACAAGAAAGGACCATTTTAAATAATAAACTGACACAAAGTCATATTCATTTGTGTAATTCCACATGCTACAACTTCTGAGCACTCTTCCTTCTCCACAGTACTAGACTCTAACTTATTACTTCTGTATGTCACACTTGATCTTTCAGTGAGATTACACAATGCATAAATTTGTAGGTGCACACCTCTGAGCTTTGTGGTTAAAAAGTATATATTTAAATTTTTTATATTTCTTTTAAAAAAAATGACAGATCGTTTTTTCTAGGCAAGGCCCTTATAGACATGTACTTGCAAAGTTTCTTCTAGTCAGTTAAATGTCTGTTGAAGGAGCAACAGATATTAAGCAGACAGTTTACTAATACTCAAATGGACCATCAAAATAAAGTGTTACCGATATTTATTTTGAAAGTGAACTAATCCTTTAATAATTCTAAAAATCCTCCCCAGATCTGATTAAATTATATGACATTGAAGAATGACAAATAATACCTTACTGATGCTGATCCTGAGTTGGTTTCTATTGAAGTCAGTTTCATCCCATGCTTCACCTGCAGGTGCGGCTGGAGCCGGTTCGGTCGGCCTGCTGGGTATTAAAGCAGGTGGAGCATTCTCTTGGTCACTCAGGTGTTCATCTTGCAGAACATCATCAGTGTTTTCCCTTGGTAGTTCACCGGGTACTGGAGTCACATTTACCACCCTGAGAGAGACAATTCAGGGCCATTTCAGAGGACAAAACAGTCAATCTAGTTTCATTTTAGAATTCCACTCAAGTGTGATCCTCTCGAGAAACGTACCCCACTATGGCAGCAGTTTGCCTTGTGTTTTGCTGTGGTGGTGTGTGTGTGCTGGTAGGGAGTGCCGTATCTGTTCCAGATTTTTCCCAGTCATACGGCTCGTTTTCAGTTATCACCCTGTCTTTCATGCTGTTCTCAAATACTGACATCAGCAACTAGACCAGAGGAAGGAGAAAATTGAAATTAAAACCATTAATAAAAGCATCATAAACTTAGTATACATTCATTTTCCTTCAGCTAGGTCCCTTATTTATCAGGGGTCACCACAGCGGAATGAACTGACAACTATTCCAGCATATGTTTTACACAGCGGATGCCCTTTCAGTCACAATCCAGTACTAGGAAATACCCATACACTCTCACATTCGAACACACACACATACATACATACACTATGGCCAATTTAGTTAATCTAATTCAACCCAATACTGTGGGGGAAACTGAAGCACCCGGAGGAAACCCACGCAAACACGAGGAGAACAATATAAATATATATTGCAGAAAGATTGGTTAAACTAGATACAAAAATTATCTTAGACAATGTTTAACTGCTATAATTTATTTCATTTTGAAGTAAAAGCTGTATATTGAGATGTGGTGGAATTGACATTTGTTCAGTTCAAGAAGGAACAAATGTTTCTCTACTCATCTAAGTTTGTCCTCTTACAGCTCTTAAAACTAGACAAATTGTTTAAACTTATGAGGCTATGCTACGTTAATTTTAAACAAGTTTTTTCACAAGGCTAAAAGTGCCGTAGTTGAAGAATGCCCCTTATACTATACTGTACAGTATGTTAATGTAAATGCATATTTAACATACAGTTGAAGTCAGAATTATTAGCCCCCCTGAATTATTAGACCGCTTGTTTATTTTTTCCACAATTTCTGTTTAACAGAGAGAATATTTTTTTCAACACATTTTTAAACATAATAGTTTTAATAACTCATTTCTAATATCTGATTTATTTTGTCTTTGCCATGATGACAGTAAATAATATTTTCCTAGATTATTTTCAAGGTACTTCTATACAGCTTAAAGTGACATTTAAAGGCTTAATTGGGTAATTAGGTTAACTAGCTAGGTTAGGGTAATTAGGCAAGTTATTGTATAACAGTAGTTTGTTCTGTAGATTTTTTATAAAAAATTTAGCTTAAAGAGGCTAATAGTTTTGTCCCTAAAATGATGTTTAAGAAATTTAAAAATGCTTTTATTCTAGCCGAAATAAAACAAATAAGACTTTATCCAGAAGAATAAATATTATCAGACATACTGTAAAAATTTCCCTGCTCTGTTAAACATCATTTGGCATATATTAAAAAAAAAATAAAAAAATTCAAAGGGGGCTAATAATTCTGACTTCAACTGTATGTATATAGCAATTCAAAATGTTGACTTTTTTTTTTAAGTCGCCTATGTTCATCAAGACAGCAATTATTCAATAGCAAATAATCACATTTTAAAAATAGCTGAAAACAATTTAAAATATAATGGTGAGTCAATATTTCAACTTAAAATGTTCATTCGTTCATTTATTCATTCATTTGTTGTTGATGCATAAAGCATTTTGCAGGATTACTTGATTAAAAAAACAGCATTTATTTTAACTAAAATTACTGCAATTTTACCTCTGATTACCAAAAAAACACAATATGCACTTTACACTGTTTACATCATCCAACTGCTGTTCTTGGAACATAATAACGCCAAACGCAAAGAAAAACTCATTTATATTAGAAATGAGGTAGTGAAATCAGAAGAAGATAAGAGATGTATGTATTGATTTTACCTGATAATCAGGTTTGGTGAAATAATCCAAATCCAGCACATGATCATAAAAGATATGAAACTCTGCAGGCATGTGTTTCAACAGCATCCTGTGCTCGTAGCGTTCTTTAATCTGTCCCACCTGCTCCTGTTCATCAGGCACATTACACACACACACTATTAACAACAAGAACACTCTGAAGGCCCTAAATATTTTACACAAAGCTCTTAAGACTGAGCACACCAAGGGTTAATTGCTTCAATTCAGTCCCATTATGCTCATAGTCACTGGTTGATGAGAGCGTGATACATTTGCCTTACCTTATCTTTTATCTTACGCCATGGTAATTGTCCAACGGTAAACTCTACCAGCATATAAAACAACGACCACAAATCATCATGACGACCCATTTCCTGTTAAAAACAAAGAACAGAGTATGAAAAATGTAGTTGTCTATATTGTTGTTCATTCTTGAAAACCTTATTTGGATTTATTAAAGTTGATTCTGATTGGCAAAAAGAGTCAACCCTGGTCACTTTTTGTGCATGCTAGACTTTAGACTGCACTTACCTTGTTTTTATGAGCATTAATGGAAGCGTATCGCACCGTTCCTCTGAACCCAGCCACTGACCTGGGCTAAAGCAGAATATTTGAAAGAGTCTCATAATAAGGATTCACATCACTTTCATTTGATACTTTTTATACTTAGGCTGGAAAAAGAGCACATAATCAAAACAAGGCAACCATGGGAAGGAAATATAAGAAAGGGTATAGCGACAGGAATTCTGTATGTTTCAGCTGCTTTTTAATGCCTTTTGACCAGTTTTGGGATTCCTGGCCTGATTAAATCACAATTAATTGTCTCTTTCATATATTCAGGTCCACAGTTATTTTATTTATAATGAATGCTACAACAGGGGTGTTGATTTTTTTCTAGTTGGGACAAGAATCAGAGTTTAAAATTTAAAGGAAAAGTACATACAAAAAACTATGCTTTTATATGCTTATTGTTCTGTTGAACACAACAAAAAATGTTGTAACTGGTAACCATCTACATTAGGATTTAAAAATATTATGTACAGTTGAAGTCAGAATGATTAGCCTCCTGAATTATTAACCCCACTGTTTATTTTTTTCTGTTTAATGAGAGACAATTTTTTCAACACATTTCTAAACATAATAGTTTTAATAACTCATTTCTAATAACTGATTTATTTTATCTTTTCCATGATAACAGTACATCATATTTAACTAGATATGTTTCAAGACACTTTACAGATTAAAGTGACATTTAAAGGCTTAACTAGTTTAATTAGGTTAACTAGGCAGGATAGGGTAATTAGGCAAGTTATTGTATGACGATGGTTTGTTCTGTGGACTATCGAAAAAATATAGCTTAAGGGGGCTTATAATTTTGTCCCTAAAATGGTGTTTAAAGAATTAAAAACTGCTTTTATTCTAGCCGAAATAAAACAAATAAGATTTTCTGCAGAAGAAAAAATATTATCAGACATATTGTAAACATTTACTTGCTCTGTTAAACATCATTTGGGAAAAAAAAAAAAATATATATATATATATATATAAAAAGGAGGCTAATAATTCTGACTTCAACTGTAGGTCAATGGCTACTGTATTTCAACATTATTAAAAATATTTTCATTTGAGATCAACAGAAGAAGGTTTGGAATAAGAGAAGGGTGCATACATTTTCATTTTTGTGTGAATTATCCCATTAACTTTATATAACTATTAAAGAACGGTGGGTAATTTTTAAGAGGTAAAAAAAGAGGAATTTTTCCATGATATTGGAGAACTCACAATATGACTGTCGCTATGGTAACAGGGACAAACATCTTTGGCGGGGAAGCATGCGATTCAACATGAGAGCCAAAACTCAACTGCAAAACAAAACTGAGAAAAGTGAAACAGAAAAATGAATTTAAAACACATAAATAATAAAACTCAGTAGAGAAAGAAACACAAATAATAATAATAAATAGGGATGCATGACTCTTTGTAACATATCAGTTATTGGCTAATATTAAAAAAGTTTTTAAATATATAGGTGTAGGTGAGTATGGAATACATTTTTACATTTAAATCACTGTAATGTAAACTATTAAAAAAAGATTCATAGAAAAATGTTTCATCGAAAATGAACAGAAAATACTGCATAAGCCACAATATAGTGAAGTACTAAAAATACGAGATCATTGTTCCATTAATATGCCTTCATATTATATGACTTTATCCAAGTTTTGAACAGCCGACTCGAATGTTATCACTTGATTGAATGGGCATTTTCAGTGGTTATCAGCTGATACATTATTACTGTAATGGACCCCTCATTGGCATTCCCAAAAAGCAGATTATCCAGAACCAGAAAATCAGAGCACACCACACCTGTCCTCAGGTCTTTATACTGGCTCCCAGTTACATTCAGAATAGATTTTAAAGTATTACTACTTGTCTGTAAATCACTAAATGGCCTAGCACCTCAATATATTACAGATATGCTCACTGAATACAAACCTAACAGATCACTCAGGTTATTAGGATCAAATGAATAAGACATTCCAAGGGTTCAGTCAAAGCAGGGTGAATCGACCTTCAGCTACTACACCCTTCACTGCTGGAATCAGCTTCCAGAAATGATCAGATGTGCTCCAACATTAGGCACCTTCAAATCAAAACTGTTTAGCTGTGCCTTTACTGAATGAGCACTATGCTACATTCAACAGATCACACTATTATGTCTTTCTTTTCTTTTCCATTCTTTTATAACTCGTTTTAACAGATTTTAATCTGTTTTAATTATTTTTAATTATTTTAGTCTTTATTTTCTTGTTTCGTTTATTCTTGTTTATGTAAAGCAATTTGAATTAGCATTGTGTATGAAATGTGCTAAATAAATAAACTTGCCTTGCCTTACCTTGATAGATATGGGCTAGTAGGGAATTTCTGTTATCATTCATCCACATGGTTAATCAGCTATAGATCATATACGGCTGCAGCCAGAAGTTAACGAAAACGATTTATATTATTTATTAAATTTCCCATTAATTGATTTTTATTAATATCTACCCCTACCCCAACCCTAAACCAAACCATCAAAGTTATATAAAAAACAGATCTGGATCTAGAGTCTTCTCTATTAGTATAGCTGATTAACCATGTGGATAGATGATAACAGCCTTCTGAGCCAACCAGTAAGCACAGAAGGCCCCTACTGGTCCATATCTATCAGCTGATAACCACTGATAATGCCCATTTAATCGAGTAAAAACGTTCAAAGCGGGAGGTTTTGAATCATTTAAAATATAGTGAAGTTTAGTAAGATCACTTTTTTTTCATATGTTTCATTATTTTATGTTGGAAATATTATTATATGAAAATGTAATATTTATGCATCCCTATGAATAACCTCTGCAACATAACTGTAAAACATAAAAATTGCACATGCAAGAAACAGAAATGTGAAAATGCTGTTTATTAGGCGATGCTGTCTGCTATTACAACTAAAAAACATTTCAAAACAAACACAAAAATACTTACTTAACTAGATGAATATAGAAAAAGACAACTACACTGCAAAATGATGAACTTGGAAATGAACTTACCGGCCGCACCTCCCCATTTGTATTTGTGTACTGTCGTGCCAAACCAAAATCCAGCATGTAACACTTCCTACAAGTTGACGGCAACCGACCCATAGCGAAATTAGACTGAGGATAGAAAGAAAGACCAGCATCAGCTAACAGAAGCCAATATAAACTGACTTGGAATGAGAAAAAAAGATGAACCTAAGAGTGAGACGCACAGGTTTAATGTCTCGGTGCAGGAAGCCCACAGAGTGAATGGCTTCAATGGACTCAAGGATCTGTTTCCCCAACCGTAGCGTGGTGCTCATGCTAAATGTCCCCCTAGGCTGACTCCTCCTGAGATCAGCAAGATTCCTCCCCTGAGCAAAGACACAATCAGCTGCACTTTCTTTGAGACACACATAAAACATGAGCGAAGACTAAATAAATAATGTACCTGCAGCTGCATGACAACATAATTGAACTTGTCATTTCTTCCACATCCAATGAATTTGCAAACATGATTCTTTCCTGTGCAAGAAAGGAAAGCAGTAGTGGCATATAGATATTACATTATTTAAAAAATGCCTGCATAAATTATCCAACTTTTTCCTTACATGATGGCTGCATTTTAAATTATTGGTTGCACAGAAGAGGTACATTTGGCTTTGTGCTTTTCTTATTCTTTATGAAAATAACGTTACACTTGGCATTAATATTACAAACATATCAGCGAGCAAAGCTCTTTTGGTAGATGTGTTTAATTCCTCAACATTATTTTACACCATTACAGTGCACTAATATTAAACACATTTGTAATTGTGCTAAAGCAAGTCTCATTTCTATGAGGGATAAATTAAGCTCTGTAATTTGTTAATTGTAATAAAATGTAAAAAAAAAAAAAAAAAAAAAAGTCCTAAGAGAGGACAAAATGAATAATGGCCATTGGTGAGAGTACTTCTTTGACCTGTTAAATATGGAGCCAAAGAATAGCGATGTTACAACATCCTTGCAGATAAGATTATAACAGAAGAAGATACAAGAGGAATAACTTTGAATAAAATAAAGAAAGCTCTCAGGAAAATGAAGTTGGGAAAGGCAGCTGGACATGCAGTAGCCCCAAAAATGCTGAAATATATGGGAGAAGATGGCACCAACCTTCTGCTAAACGTGATTAACTTGGCATGGAAACAAGCTAGAATCCCAAAAGACTTCATAGACCTTTATAGACGTTTGACAGTTTACAGTGGCCAGAGCAGTGGAAGGTTCTCAGAAAGCGTGATGTCAAAGAACCTCTGATAAAGAGAATACAAAGTTTCTACAAATGCTGCAGAAACTACTTGAGAACAGGAAACTTATCCTCGGAGGAGTTCCTCACCACATCTGGAGTCAGACAAGGGAACATAATCATCCCTCATAGGCAAAAAAAACATGTCCAACACTCCATAAAGCTAGACAGCATTGTCTTGAAGCAAGTGGAGAGTTCAACTATCTTGGAACAAAGCGAGGGTCGCCATATCTAGCAGATTATGTGATGCTTTAAGCAGAGCCTTTCAAGGAAAGAGAGAAATCTCCACCAGAACAAAGCTAGCGGTCTAGAACTCCTCCTATGTGCCTACTCTTACCTATCGGTGCGAGTCTTGGGCATTTACTAGCAGCAGGAACAACAGATTTGCAGGCCTTGAATGAAATGGATGGACTCACTTAACCCAGCATTCCAAAAGAGAGAAGTAGACCAAAGCTGCGCCAGAACAGTGGCTGCAGACAGAAAAAGGTGGTGGAAACATCGTTCAGCCTCTACATCACAAGGTAGAAGAGGCCAGGAATGAGTAGGTAACTATTAAATTGTTAAATGTTATAGACTGTAAAAATACAGGGCACTACACAATCAATTTGCGTTTGGAAAACATGAAGGAATTTTAGTTGATTTATTAATTTTTATAAACCTAAGTGGATTGAAGGTAAAAATTAAGTTTTGCATAAAAAAACTCAAGAATTATGTTGTTTCAGCTCAAATAAATAAGTAGTTTTAACAAACAACAAACATTATCTTTTTGAGTGTAATTTACATTTGATGGATGAGCTGTGTGGAGAAATATGACACTTCATTGTTTACAGTTTAACAAACCATCATAGAGCAAAGGAAAAAGATGGATAGAAACACACATATTCACATTTAACAAACTCATTCAGCAAGCAGCTACAGACAGAGGTGTTGGCATTTGGTATTCTAGTATGTCCTCTGTGAAGGTTATGAGAGAACGAGTGAGGGAGAGAAAAAAAAAAGTGTGGTAATTCCGCTTTCCTTCAGTTCTTTACGCTCATTACTCTTACAGACTCCCAGTGGTGTGTCTGAGCTACAGTTGAGGCAAAATGGCTTGACAGGCATGAAAGTCACAGTGTCTCTGTGTTCGTTTCTTATGTGCACATCTGAAAACATTATGATGGGAATATATTAGCGAATGGTTTGTCACTTATTGTACAGATACAACATCTTGATCGGTGGCTCATTTTATATTATGCCTAATGTACTGTGCTGATTTTTTGGGGTTAATAAAATTTTACCAAGGCTACATTTGCTTATAAGTACAATACAATTGTAGGGAAAAGGGAATTTATTTATTTATTTTATTTTTGTCTGTTTATTTTTATTAGAAAAGAAATGTTTAGACTTACAACAGATCAATCAATCTTTTTCTTTTGTATGATACCATATATCAACTAAACATTCTTCATCTTTCTAAATGTGTTGCATACTTCTAAGAAGGAACTGCTGACAAGAGGAAAATAGCAGAATAAGAATAAAAATAGAGTTGGGGGTTGGCTTGCTCCAGACTTTTGTCTAACTAGAAGTCTAGACATATCACAAGGAGCTGGATGCTTGTAGAAGTTGTGAATTATACTGAAAATGCAATTAACTGTGCAGTTCTGGTATGCAGAGAGGAAGTATGTTTGGGTGCGACCACCAAAGGACTGTAGAATGATTGACAAGTGACGAATTACACAAAACTCCACCTTTAATATCAGTTGTGTACAGTTGAAATCTGAATTATTAAAGCCCCTTTGAATTTTTTACAATATTTAAAAATATTTCCCAAATGATGTTTAACAGAGCAAGAAAATTTTCACAGTTTGTCTGAAAATTTTTTTTTTTCATCTGGAGAAAGTCTTTTTTATTTTATTACGGCTAAAATAAAAGCAGTTTTTAATTTTTTGAAAACCATTTTAAGGTCAATATTATTAGTCCCTTTAAGCTATATTTTTTTCGATAGTCTAGGGAATAAACCATTGTAATACAATAACTTGCCTAATTACCCTAACTTGCCTAGTTAACCTGATTAACCTACTTAAGCCTTTAAATGTCACTTTAAGCTGTATAGAAGTGTCTTGAAAAATATTTAGTAAAATATTATAAATTTAATTTTTGCATTGCATTGGGGTAACCTAATCCAGAGCTCTGTCCTCAAATTATTCATTCGTATCTAATAAATAACTCATATTTTTGACATTGAAGACATCCTGACCTTTTTTTATTAAACACGAATGGGATTGGCTAGACATTCCAACACAAGAGTAACTTTATAGAAAAATATTACAAATTAAAACAGCTTTATTGTCTTGCAATTAAAGGCTGAATTTTCACATGCTAGTTTTCCACTCTTCAGAGCCATATGATCTTTTAGAGTACTGATTTTCTTCTTGTAAACAATTCTTATTGTTATAAATTTTGAAAAAAAAAAAAGCTTTGCTGCTTAACACATCCATTAAAACAATGATTTTTTAATGATTGTTTTACAAACATGCAATATGATGAAGTTTAAATAAAAAATAAAATAAAAGTATAATTTTTATAAATAACTATGAACAGTTTCTGTATTTTGGCTAGTTTGTAATGATAAATATTTCTTCCACTAAACCATTAAAACAAAAACATAAGATATAAAATTCCCAAATCTCCTGTTTTTTTTTTTTTTATCTGATGTGTGATTTTAACAAGAGATGGATGCTAATTGCTCTTAGCGACATTGTGATGCTGCAATAACACAATGATCTGTTTTCAAGAAACTAATTACTCAAGCTAGTTATTAAAAACACAAAACAGCACATATATCCTCTCCGTCTCCTCACCTTGTAGTTTTTTTAGCACAGCAACCTCCATCTTTAGCACTTGTTTGGGTTGTTGGGCAGATTCCACCTTAAGAGCCACATTCTCCCGCGTCAACAAGTCGTAGGCCTCATATATCTCCCCAAACCCTCCACCCCCAATCTTCTTTAGCTGAATACACAAACAACAGCAAGGTAAGTCATGGCAGAGCAGCGATTTAACCTGTCTGTAATCTGTTTCACACAGAGTCAGAGCTGGTCTTGCATAATATCATAAACATTATGCTGTGGAAGTTCTGCTATTAGAACGAACAATTTCCTCACCTAATCTGGCAGAAATGAATGTGTGGATGGAATTTACTTTACATGCAATAAATGTATGACAAACTTTGATTGGCTGATTTACCTAAGCTGCTCCAATCTGAGGGCATATGACTTCATTGGTTTTAATGAAAACCGTAAAGTTCATTTAGGTCTTTATTGGTAATTGCCTGGTATAAACCACAACGACTGGTAATAAATAAACATATGATAATTAAAATATATTGGTTTTGATGGTTAAAATGTGATGGCTTACAATATTTGCAATGGTACTTGTAGAGGAAAGCATCAGAACTGATTGTTTCAATAGTTTTTTCCCCCAAGCAGGGCACAGCATATTCATTTATCTCAAGCTTAAACTGTAAAATGTAACTCGTGTGAAAAAGCATAAGCTAGTTAATGATGATTCAGGCTCTGTTTTAAACACTGCCATCAAAGATATTATAACAGTAAAACAACCACAAATTATTTCTGAGGACATCTGCTTGAAGGAGAAAAAGCAACAAACTGGCCCACAACCAATTGCTGTGGGCGCACGTTGGCGAAAAGCCAGATTGAGTTGATTTGAAAGCATCTGCTGTCATATGTGGTCCATTTTGTCCAGTGTGATTGGCCTGTGATGGCAGCAGCCACTATGAGCATCTTTATTGAACACACACACTCTCTTTCTACTAAATATAGACACACACTTACCACTTTCCAGCGATCTTTCACCAAGCAGTTGGAGGGCAGGATGTCGACCTGCTCTCCCGCCCCGTTCATGTTTTCGTCGCCGTGGACTCCGGGCCCTACGCACTGCATCGGCTGGCCAGTGCTTTACCAATCCCTGCCATTTACCTGCAAAAAAATATGCATACAACTGATGTGTCGGCATCACGGGGTTGGTTCCGTTCCCTCAGCTGAACAGATACAATGGAAGTAATGGACTGAACACGAAGACTGTAAAGCCTAATCTAACCCAATTGTAGAAACAAATGTTCTAAATAATGTAAATTTGACTGACTGCTTCACGTACAGTACAAGTTACATACACGTATAGTACAAAATCTGGGCACTGGGTGAGGTCAGGTTTAAGGTTCTTGTTAAATCTATCTCACTTATTAAGTTTTTTAAAAGAGGATTTCTATCTATCTATCTATCTATCTATCTATCTATCTATCTATCTATCTATCTATCTATCTATCTATCTATCTAAATAAATAAATAAATAAATAAATAAATAAATATATAAATATATATATATATATATATATATATATATATATATATATATATATATATATATATATATATATATATATGTTCAATGGGGGGAAATTGTTGTTTTTTTACCCAGACATTTAAGAAGAACTTGTTTTGAAGCAGTAATCACAATACCGTTGTCCAGTGAAACCGTGATATTTTTATTCAAGGTTATCATACGGTCAGAATCATACTGTCCCATGCCTAACCCAATCACAGAGATGGTTAAGATCTATTTTCAGAACATTAAAGTTTACTGATGGTAAAATGACAGGCACAACCCCATCTAAAACATGGCATAAATGACAGTATTTAAGAGACAGCTGAAAACTTTTACTCTTCCACAAACACTTATCCTACTCAAAAAGTATAGACAAATAAAAATACTCTCTCATGCCTTCAATATTTCTTCTTGGCTGCAGCATACATACATACATACATACATACATTTGCTATGTATGGGTTTGAGTAAAATCAGTATTTAGTCAGTTTTTTTCTCCCATAATGGTCTTATAACATCTTTAAAAAATAAATATATATTTTTTTTAATTTCTGTTTAAATTCCAGAAATTACAGTTTGTCAAAATAACAAATGCTTTCACTTTGTGAGATTCCAAATTAGGGTTCTTACACCAAATATTGATATATTAACATTGATATTTATGAAAAAACATAGCATCCTTTTTTGTTTTCATTCATTCGTTTTCCTTCGGCTTAGTCCTTATATATATAGTCCTATATACACACACACACACACACACACACACACACATACATCCTATATATATATATATATATATATATATATATATATATATATATATATATATATATATATATATATATATATATATATATCCAGCTTATGTTTTAAATTTATGTTTTATGTGCAACCCAGTACTGGGAAACATCCATACACTACAGCCAATTTAGTTTAATCAATTCACCTATACCAAATGTCTTTGGACTGTGGGGGAAACCGGACCACCCGAAAGAAACCCATGGGGAGAACATGCAAACTCCACACAGAAATGCCAACTGACCGAGCCGGTACTCGAACCAGCAACCTTCTTGCTTTGAGGCGACAGTGCTGCTAACCATCATGCTATCGTGTCGCCCCCCTTTTTTGTTTTTATATCATGCAAATATATAGCTGACAACATTTTTGTTTTACATTTGAACAAAATATCATCAGTATTATATTTTACTCAAACACATATGTATAAATTATAATAACCCTAGAGAGACTTCAAGGAGTCTCTTAGTTTATTACAATGTGCTGGGAAAAAAAAAAGATATTTAAGGACCTCAGTTCAGACTAACTAACAGCATCCCTCTAAAATAATAACAATGAAACATTCTAGGCTGAAATATCAAGAAAGACTTACATTTCTAAATGAAAATTAAGTATCCGCAAACCACAAGTGACAACAAGAACAACATTCTGTTATAAAGAAGAATATATTGTACGGATAGCAGAAGGAACAGCCTATTTCTCTGGAGGTCATTATCTGAGGCACTTTGAGTTTTCTGTAATGTCTGCAGAGTATCAGGTATCCACACACAGTCTCTATCAGAACTGGACTACACCCTTACCCACATGCTCATAATGTTACAGTCTCTTAATAACCTTTGTAAAATGGAAACATCAGATATTATTTTTCAGTTGAGTGTGTTTATGTTCACAGGCTTGGTGTGTGCTTAAATCCTTAATAGATATCAAACATTTCTTTGTGTTTACTGCTATAAAGCACAATTAATTTAACCTTCTAAAATGAAGCTGGTCTCTAAGGAATGCAATGAGTTATAAATGGACCTAATTAACAAAACACATTAAAAGACTCTCGCCTTTTTTTTTTTTTTTGCCACCTGAGAGAGTTAATGCAGAGACATGTGCTATACTGTAGGTTTTTCAGGAGATTGCAGGGAATACCTCATTTCATTGTACACCAAAAACCAGGACAGACTCAGGATGGCATTTCAGAATTCACAATTATGCAATTAACAATTAAAACTATCACAATTATTGTTTTATTTTAGAATACAGTGGATAATGTTGACATTTAATTGCTAAAATATACATAATGTAACAGGGAAGTGCTTTAATAGCCTTGAAAAGCATATGTACAAATTATAGATATTTATGTTATGTTATGACAGCTTTTAATCATTCAAAAAGCATATTGAATCATGTTTGTTCTGTTTTCATGCATTTTACTAAAAATATAAGACTGATGCAAAAAGTAAAGTACTATACAGAAGAATAGACTTTTAGATGCCTATGTATATACTTCCACTGTACATAAGGTAAGTTTAAGCAAGTATTCTAAACATATTTTATAATAAAATAAACAGCTTACAGTAAAATTGTTTGGATTGTCCTTTAAATATACGTTTTTTTTATTATTATGTAACATTTTACCATTACATTAAAGCTAACAAGATAATCTGATAAAATATAAAAGCAATTGGTTGGAAACGCTTTGAATTGTTTTAAGAAATGCATTGTATGTTCTATGCAGGGAGCTAGTTGGGGGAAAAACATTATAATCATCATCAAATGCAAGAACCAAAGAATGAACCTCTCTTTGCCTGGCTCTTCACCTGTTTGCATGGCAAACTCGTACACTTTAACAAAATGATAATGTGATTCAGATTGCACAAAGCATTTGCTGAGAGCACTTCATTATTCTGACTGAACTAAATGTCAGGAGCACAGGACTGCGTGGGCTCAGTCTCCTGACATCTTCGGCTTTCTCCGCAGTGCCAAAAGCATCCGTCTGAACGGACCCCACCCAAACACGTTCTGGCCCAATCGGCAGCCATCAAGGTTAAGCCCCGCCCCAAACCATCGTTTGATCAACGTCCATTGGGGCAACGTCTAACAATCAGCCGAACATTCCCCTGCTCGAGCCTGGAGCGAAAAGCACTTTGGGATATGTCGTTCATCAATGAGACAATGGACATATAAGACATCAGACACTGTCACCTCTGAAAAACTACAACTCCCACTAACGGGCCACATGAGCTGTTGACGTACAGCTGCATTATGTGGCATGTAATGTTAATTATTCATGATTATCCTTTAGCATAAATAATATATATAAATAAGGACGAGTCTCTATTTTTGACTCAGGCCCGAGTGCCTTAATAGTTTGTCAAGACCGTGACAGATTTAGTTTTCGCGTGCCCGGTTGACACCTGCACGCGCATCGTATATGGAAGCCTGCGGCTCGCGCCAGCGCAGCATCACTATTGACAAGGTGCCAACATCCACGGGACGAGCCGATTGCTACGGCAGCGCTGTCTTTCAAAAAAATCACTTGGCAAACAAAAGCTAACCCACTAACCTGTTCTTCTGTCGTCGGAGTAAAATCTCAAAGTGAGAGTTTAAGGAGAGCCGCATTATTCCACTGGCGCGACCGCTGCGCCTTTTCCCCTTGTTGATGCTGCACCATTTTCAGCCTCCTCTGCTCCTCCGCTCCAGCACTGATTCAGCATCGCTCGGATACTCCCACTATGCACCGCGCACATGCGTGACAGAGGACGGCTGTTGCGTGGCAACCAGAAAGGCGTGAATCTCCCTCTTTATCTGCAGACTTCGTCCATTGAGGAAATTTTGACAGAAACCTCTTAAAATTGATACTTGTCATAAAGGAAAAGAGGAATGCATAATATTAGGGAAGAAATAACCGTGCAATTGGTTTAGACTAATAAACACAATGGCACCTTCGTTAACCCTTGCATTATTATTAAAATTTAGATACGACATTGTTGCGGGTGAATAAATAAGACATAAATCAGATAGTTTTAACATCAGAAGTTCTCACACATTCATAACATAAATCAATATAAATAAAACTATGCAAATTACAAAAATCAGAATTTGAAGACGGGTAACGGCCTTTTAAACACCCTGTGCCCAAAAAGATTATATCATTTTAGCATACCATATCATTTTAAACAGACTGTGTTTGACAGAGATTGATAGGAATGTTAGAATTAATATCCAATATCCTGCAAAATTGACATTTCTTTTGGAAGAATCGAAAAGATACTCCCAGAATTAATTTCAAAATCTGGTGTTGACAGATTTACTCCATTTTATAATAATAAAAATATTTGTAATGAGTCAAATTTAGCCATATATACATTAAACATCACCTAGAGGAAAATTATTTTGGAATGCAAACGTTTCCTGATTTTAATTGGAAAGGGACCTCAATTTGATACTTGCAAAAGGACTACCAAAATCTAATTTATTTTATTAGAAATGGACACCTTGAAAAGGTCTCTAATGCAAACTGATAACAAAAAGAATGACATGCTGTTGAAACCATGGAGGATTTTTTTTTCTGGTAATGATCCCCCACTGTAATTTTTGACTTTCTTTCAATGAGAATTGTAATAATCGTAAAGTTTACATGTACATTATTTATGTAATCACTGTTTACTGTTATCATTACAATAGCCTAGTATAACATTATTATTGTTAATTTTTTTTTTTAATTATTTATTTACTGCTCATGGATACTGTTTCTGAATTTTTCTTGTAATGTTAAAAAGGCTCAGAGTGTGTCTTAACCTGTAAATGAATGTATGGTGTTTTCCTATAGGCAACTATTATTTATTAAGCTGTTAATAAAATCAAAGAGTCATAAATAAAATAATTATGAAATGCATGAAAATTATAAATAAACATACATGCATACACGCATACATGCATTCATTCATACATGCATACATACTGTAGCTGACGCAGTTTAGTCAGCTTTTATTTTGTTTAGTGTTTTGTATTTCATTATTTGAATGTGTAGTGGTATATGTTTATGTTACAAATTTCCGGTTGGCTTGAGTGGGAGGTCACATGATTCTCTTTGATTGATTTAACCTGTGAGAGTTTGTATGGTCACTCAGCACAGTGAAATCTCAATGCAAGCACCTGTTAAATGCTCCTGCTTATTCTACAGCATGGTTATCAGGCCAACACGGTAAACTAAACATTGTTTTGTATATTATTTGTTTATGCTGATGTCCTGTCTATTGTGTTTGTGTGAAATATTTGGTTTGTTTATTTGTTTATCTTTTAGTTTTCACAGTGTTCAATAAAGGAAATGCATATGGACATCAGTATTTGGATGCGTGGACTGTTTTAATAACCTGCAGGTAGCTACACATACATACATACATACATACATACATACATACATACATACATACATACATACATACATACATACATACATACATACAGACAACAAAGCCTTCACAGTGTACTCCTCATTTAGAGCATGCCTTATTGGTGTCAAATTGCCTATTATTGTTTTCCATCAAGATAAATGATATACTGAAAGAATTAGAAATGGGATTCTTGCTTTTTGCTGATGATGCAGCAATTTGTAAAAAGGAAGGAATATTGATTTTAGATGTAAGAGTAAGAAGATAAAAGGAATAGAATTTAGTAAGAATTTAGAAGAGTTAACATTTCAGTTCATATTAAGGAATATTCTATAAAATGATTCAAGAAATCAATTATATATATATATATATATATATATATATATTTTTTTTTTTTTTTTTTTTTTTTTTTTTTTTTTTACAATATCTTAAAATTACTCACCTGTGGGAGAGGATTTAAACCAGGGGGTCCCCAAACCTTTTCTTGCGAAGGGCCAAAAACCAGACTTGATTGATGGCTATGGGTCAAGGTAAATATAGCATTAGTATGACATTAAATTTGTTATGGGTCATTTCCTAATTTATTTTCCTGAATCCTGATATTTTAAAAAACTAGAAAACATTGCTTTATATGAACTGATGCAAATTTAAAAGATTATAAATATAATAAACTTACTACAGTAAAAACAAAAACAGTCCCATTTGTCACACATTGGAGTTCAATGCCAAATAGCAATGTTAGGCTGTTGCTATGTTATGTGCATTGTCCTCTATTCGCCGAGAGACAGTATTTACATGATTAATCTGATTCATTTACAACATTTAATTAAATTGCTTAATTTCAGTTTGCTATAAAACTATAAAAACAGACAAAAAGGTTAACTTAAATTCAGAATGATGATCTCTGTTAAAGGGATTCTCCACAATGCTCCTATTCAAATTAACTTTGGCCAGCGGGCCCTAGTCTGGACATCTAAGATTTCAAAAGAAGGGAGGATGGGGTGAGGTACGTCTTAGCAATACACACTCTACACCAGTTGGTGGCGGAAAAACACTGTTTTGCTGTTTGTCAACCGAGTAAAATCACAAGAAGAAGAGGATTTGTTTTGGCTGGACGGAGGTGAACATGGCTGATGTGTCGGAGAGGACGTTACAGGTCGCGATAGTCGTCTCGTTTGCGGCTGGTTTTGTCGCCGGTTGGCAGGCAAACAGGATGCGAAGAAAGTTCTTGGACTGGCGGAAAAAGAGGTTGCAGGACAAACTCGCGGAAACACAGAAGAAGCTTGACCTGTCGTGACAGATACAAGTTATCACGTAACCGACCTGGTAAGACACGTGTCTTTCATAACTATCGTTTTCTATGGAGTAATTTGCTTTCGTTTTACACTATAATCGGTATAACTACTCTTTCATTTCTTTAGTGCCATGTGGTCTTCAATGCTGTGATTTCATGAGCAGAATCAAGTGAATGAACGAGGATCAAGCTGTCAAGTCTTTGGATCAAGTCACAAGCTACAGCAAGGAACACACCTGTCAAAGACTTTAAACACTGAGAAAAACAATGTATTTCTAAGATTGTTTTGTTTAATGTTTGTGCAAGCCATATCCATAATGTTACCACATCTGTGCTCTCTTCTTGTTTGTCGAAGTCGAAATAAACTGAAATATTTTGATAACACTGTTGATTACTATTTCTCAGTCATGGCTTGCAGCTGGAAGGGTATCTGCTGCTAAAAACATGCTGGATAAGTTGGCATATAATTCCGCTGTGGCAACCCCAGGGACAAAGCTGAAAAGAAAATGGATGAATGTTGAGTACTATGAAAGTATTATAATCAATGTGTTAAAAAATTGAGATGTAAAGTTTAAGCAGAAGTAATCTGAATGGAACAATGTTTCTGCATTCACAGAACTGACAGAACATGATTCAATCACAAATGAAAAATCTTGGTAAAATATTAAATATTTGCATCTATGTATTTGACAGCATAATTGTCAAAATACAGTATTTAAACATTATGGCTCTCAGAAATAAAGGTAGAGCATTTTGATTATTAAAAAAACAATGGCACATAACGAAAAAATCCAAATTGGTACCTTAAATTAACTGTACCAGTAACAACATTTGTGTGAAACAAACAACATTTATATCTTTGTTAATTTATTTGTAAGCGTTTTATAATACTGAGCGAGAATGAACATCAGATGTATTTTTTAATAATAAACCTTTGCTAAGATGAATAAACAATATATCAAATATTTCGCTAGTTTTGTCATGTAATAAATAATAGACTATTTCTTTATGAAAATTCAACACTTCCTGGAGTTTGTAAGATTTTTATACATTACCCTTTTTGGGCTGGAATTTGCAGTTTTTAGAATAAAAAAAATCTGTTTATTTGTATATTCTATATTTGTAAAGACTGATTATACATTCTAACATTTATTATTTTTTTATAGCTATATATAAGTGTCGGTGATGTTTGTAGCATTACGTATCTAAGTGTGGGCATCAAAAGTAACCTGAAAATTGAAGTGTATCAAATATGAATGTTTGGGTCTCCACTGTAGACAACAGGAAAACTCACACTGGAAACCTGTTTTACCAAAGCGTGCTACTCATAGCTCAAAGCAAGAATTGAGGTAAACTTGGTTTTATAATCACACATTCTGACTTTCTCCTTAACAATATAATTTCAGAAATGTATTTTTATTATAAACAGAGGAATCAAATTACCAGCCAATGACTTTAAAAAGCACATTGTTCATAGTAAAAATATATGGAAAAATATGGATAATATTTTTAATTCATACTTGCACTTGATTTCAGGACGAAATGATAACGGGGCATGTCACAAGTTCTCGCTGAACGAATAAGCGAATATAAAACCAGCAGTGGTTCAATTATAACAAATCCACACAGTAAGTAGGTCCATAATAATGAGGTTTCACAAAGACAGTTTAATTTTATGATAAGAAAAATAAGCGAAGAAAAGCAAATAATTCTTACACTTAACTATTTAGCAGAGTGCATTGATGTATTTATGTGTGTGTTAAAGGGATAGATCAAAAATTGAAAATGTACTTACTATTTACTGCCCCTCAAGTGGTTCCAAACCTTGAAATGTGTATTTTCCATAGTAGTAGCTACTATTGAAGCCAACATTAACATGTCTCCATCTTTATTCAAAATATCTTCTTTTTTGTTCAACTGAAGAAAGAAAGAAAGAAAGAAAGAAAGAAAGAAAGAAAGAAAGAAAGAAAGAAAGAAAGAAAGAAAGAAAGAAAGAAAGAAAGAAAGAAAGAAAGAAAGAAAGAAAGAAAGAAAGAAAGAAAGAAAGAAAGAAAGAAAGAAAGAAAGAAAGAAAGAAAGAAAGAAAGAAAGAAAGAAAAACGGAACAAGTAAAGGGTGGGTAAACCATGACAGAAGTTTGAGTTTTGGATGAGCTATGCCTTTAATGGACTCTCTCTGGCGCGCACAGTGATGAGGTCATAACAGCGTCGCATAAAAGTATCTTAGCAACCTCATTCGGAGCGTCTGTCCTGTCATGGCGCTGCAGATGCATCTTCTTAAAGCAAATCTGAGCGCAGCAGGGACATTTCTACAAATCTCACAGTCGAATTGCCGTTTGTGATCGATCCTTCTGTCGCGAATACAACATGCCTCCAAAGAGAAGAGGGCCCCTTCAGATTGTCCAAAGAGAAACGGATGACATCAAGCGACAGGTACGTTACCACTGAAACAAATGTGTTTTTTGTGTTAATACACAATAAATACAAGAGAAGATCTGTGTCTGTGCTTTAGGTGGATGCTTTGGTGCAGCAAGCGGCTAAAGCAGATGTGTCAGAAAACAAAGAGGCCTTGCAGAGGTAGAGGACTTGTATCTGTTGTGTTTTTCTAAATCATTCGTTAAAATACGTTGGTTTCTCTCTACATCCAGGAACGTTTATCTTGGTGTTTTGGATTTCAGGTGCAGAGAATTACAGCGCTTAGTGGACGACATTATGAAGAGGCTGAAGAAGTTATCTAAAGTAATGTAAAACCAATACATTTTAATGGTTTTTAGTTTGTCTTGTGAAGTATTCCATTAGGATTTAGTGGTTTAAAATGCCATCAAAGAAGGCAATTTGTCAATAGTAACTGACAGGACCAATACATTTCCTATTACCAATAAACACTCTCACTACACCACAGAAGTATAATTTAATAAAAGAAAGAGAGAGAAAGCTGGATTTATCATTAGTATGTGCTTTGGATAATTTGTTTATTTGTTTTTATTTTATAAACTACTGTTAATAAATTCTGCATTCAAAGTATTTATGTACAGGCCTGTAGTCGGGGGACGTTCAAATTGTTTGAAAATCCCACCCTCCACTGACAAAGGTCCAAAATTTGTCCCATACACTAACTCATTTGTCCTATTTTGACTGCAGTGCCATCATACATTGTGAAAATAACCCATCTAAGAAAGTTTTAAAACCAAGTAAAATCTTTTTGTTTTTTTGTTGTTAAATAGAATGGACATTTTACAAGTAACTTTTATTCTAAATCTTGCACCAATAGAAATGTGCTAAGCACCAAAAGTTACTTTTGAAGCCTATTAAAGTTAATTTTAATACTAATTAGGCTATTGTTATCCATGAATTTTCAAATATATTCTTTTTTTACAATAAAGGCTAGATTTAGCTTTTTTTATCATTCAAATGGCAAAATTTTGACTGAGGAAAGTTGAACGTGCTGGTAAGTTTGTTATTTGCCCAACAAATTCAATTCATGTTCATTTATTGCGCTTTTCACAATGTAGATTGTATCAAAGCATTTTAACATAGTTCTAGTAAAGTCCAGATTTCAGAGTTGAAGTTCAGTTTAGTTAAGTTCAGTGTGGTTTAAATTTTACTGCGGAAAGTTCAAACACTGTTGAACAAATCCACCGAAGCGCAGCTCCACAAGTCCCGATCCAAGCAAGCCAGTGGTAACACTGGCGAAGAGGGAAAAAAATACTTAACTAATTGACAAAGCAAAGGAAAAAAAACCTCGAGAGAGACAAGGCTCTGTTGGGCACGACCATTATTCTTCTGGCCTAACTTCTTCTGTGGAGCTGCAGTCTACGCATCGTAGGCTGATAACAAGCTACAATTTTTTATTTTAATGACCACCGACAAGCTAATCCAGCTAAAAATTGTGCTTGAAATGTCACTAAAATGTAGTATTTAAACCTCTTACTTAAATAGAAAAGTAGCAGAATAACTGCAAAAAGGTTAACTTTTTGAGAAAAAATAACCACCACCCCCTTTTACCAGACTGGCTATGAAAGTTCAAAATAAAATGTTTTCAAAGATTAAATATTGAGCGAAGGAATCATTTTTGTATAGATATTTTCACACACACACAAAGCTTCTGCAAAGTAAACCAGCATTTAGTCAAATGAAAAAGTTCAAACTAGACAAACATTGAAAAGAAACAGAACTTTAATGCCACTTGTTACACATCAGACGAGTCAAGATGTGCTGATGTGAAATGACACTGATTAATTATCAAGTATTAAATTAAAACCTGAATTACATGTATGCAGGCAGATGAACCAGCTCCAGTTGGAAACTATGACCAGTGTAAGAGGGAAGAGGAGAAGCGGTTATTGACTTTACATGATCATCTACAGTCTCTAGCTCTTCAGCTGCTGCCTCATGATGAGTATGACACTCCTCATTCATTCCAACACACATTCACTCTCAAAATACCTGAACTTAAAGAGGTTTTCATGAGTTTGTTTCATGGCCATGTAGGACGGCTGGACCTAGTTCTTCACATACAGAACAGGACAGCGAGGAAGAGAATAGTGATGAAGAAGATGAGAGCTCTGAAGAGGAAGATGCTAAAGGAGACGTACACGAGGAAGATGATGATGCTGACAGTGCTGATGAAGATACAGATATGGCTGCTGCTGCAGAACAGGGATCTGCCTCCTATATCACTCTCAGTTCGTTTACAGCGGAGGAGGAAGGGGATCTCAGCATTCAGGTAACTTAAATGCTTAAATGCTTCAATTCAAGATTATTTACTTATTTATGTTTTGATGATAAAATTTGTCTCTTTGTGTTGTTTCAGAAAGGAGAGATTCTAAAAGTTTTGTCAAAAAATAAAGATGGATGGTGGCTGGCGCAAAACTCGAATGGACAGAAAGGCCTGGTGCCTAAAACTTTTCTAAAGGTGTGTATAAAGTCAGTGACACTCAGTTAGTGAGTTTAATTCTACTGTGTTATTACTTGATAACATGTAAGGTCATATAACCACATTCCATTGAGTTTTTAACTGCAGGAAATGCATGAAAATGTTTAAAGGATTACTTCATTATCTGTTTATTAAATGATACTATTGATCAATTCAGTTGGATGAATTTGTTACCTTTTGGTTACCCAGACTTTCAATGGAAGGAAAGAAACCTCTCATTTTTTATTAAAAGTTTTTTAGTTATTTATTTTTTATTTATTTATTTATTTTGAGCACAGAGTTAAAAGAGAACTAAAAAAACCTTAAAGGCAAAGTTTACCATGACATGGTTTACTCACTTGTTCCAAACCTGTTTGAGTTTTCTTTTTTGTTGAACACAAAACAAGTTATTAAGAAGAATTCTGGAAAAACAGTATTTTTTGTTCCTACCATGAGTGTCTGTGGCATTT